AAAAAGGTGGATAGAGGTGGGTGGAGGAGTGGAGGCCAATGTCATCGGTGGGCGGGGCTTGACCAAAGTGGGCGGAGGAGCGAAAAAAGTGGATATAGGTCAGCAAAGAAAGAGAAGTTAACTGCTACGGTTGGGTGGAGCGTGCGCTAATGTGGGCGGAGTTTGCGCCGAAATTGTAATTCGGCTCCAAGAAGTCCCGGAGGCAGGGAAAAAGGTGGATGGAGGTGGGTGGAGGAGTGGAGCCCAGCTATCACCGGTGAGCGGGGCTTGACCAAAGTGGGCGGAGTTTGCGACGAAAATTCATAACTCGGCTCCAAGAAGTCCTAGAGATAGGGAAAACGGGGTTAGAGGTTGGCGAGGGAAAAGAGATCAGCTGCTTCCAAGAGGTCCCAGAGACCGGTGAAAAAAGGGGTAGAGGTCGGCGAAAGGAAGGGGGCCAAATGCTATTGGTGGGCGGAGCACGCACCGAAGTAGGCGGAGTTTGCCACGAGATTATTGTCCGGAAGCAGTCCGGACCGGGAAAAAGAGGATAATGGTTGACGAAGAAAAAGAGGTTGAAAGCCGTCGATGATGGAGCGGATAGAATTTAGCTGAGAATTCAGATATTCGTGGTGTATCAAGCCAAATTTGAAAATTTTCGTCGCACCATCAAAATTCGCCGCAGATCTGTGTTGCGCGCGCAATGCGTGCGGCGCCAACTGGTCCAATAATGGGATACGTCATTGCAAAGAGCAAGCTCTAAAGCATCTTGAGCAACTGCTTGAAATAGGCTTATTCGTACGGAATATGCCTCCAGGAGATCGACGGCGTAACAACACCCACACATCGTAGATGTAGCTTGCAGGACACTCCTCATATAAAGGAATCCTTCCCGGAAAATTTTGCATTCTTTCCTAACATGAATGTGTCAGTTCTGATCACTAGAGACAACGCACAAAGTTTCACGCACGAAGATTCTGTTTGGTTGAAGAGTTCCTAATGACCGCTCTTCGATAACCAAGTGGAAGCGTGCTCTCCGCCACCATTTATGACAGATGTAAGGCGAAAATTTGAACGCTTAATATTCCTTTAGTTCTTCGAATTGTTTAAGACACGCAATTTCCTTGTTCTTGTCCTTTTTATCGTGAACGATAAAAAAGGCAAGAACAAAAAAATTTCTAAGCCAGTGAGTGACGGGTGAAAAAGAATCGTGATTTTTGTGGGAAAGATTCCTTTGAACTCGGGAGGAAATGCAGCGTCAGTAAATGAGGCGAGCGAGTCCTTCTGTACTAGATTTTTGGATCTGATCACAAACATTGCATTCATTTTCGACACAGAGCCATCTGCAACTTTATTTTAAGCTGCTCATATTTTCAAGTAATAGGCGTCATTTCTTTGCTCATAGGGTGATTTCCTTGTTTAGAGTTATGCAAGAAGAGTCGGATGTTTACAGCATCTACAACAAATTCAAAAACATAGGGGCGCAAAAGCGTTTCTGTTTATGCATGTCTTGAAAACAAGTAAGACACCTTTTGTGAAAAGAGATCAGAGAAAAACGAGCCAATTTTCTAATATATTGTCGATAGTTCGAGTGATATGAAAACACTTTTTTTAATTGTGATGTTTTGAAGTCTCTGCCCACACTCGATATTTTTCTTCTTTATGTGATATGCGTTCGATAAAGAGGGAGAAACCGCTTCCGGAGAAGAAATAGACCAAAATCAATGATGAAATGAAGGAGTGTCACCACTCCGCTCGACTTGGCGAAACTTTCTAAGAGGAATGGCTCATTTGCGTATATGATTTCTTTAGTAAAGAAAGACATTATTTTCGAGACGTGAACTATCATGAATGCTCCGGAAAACACGTTAAACTGCCTTCTTTGAGACATTAACTTTTGAAGAAGTTTTGATTTCCGTACCCGGCTTGATAAAGTTGTATTATTTTCTTATGATACGGCGCTTATCTCGGTCGGATAGTAATCAGGTTTCCTTGCAGTATCATATCCTACAGGATCCAAGGGAACTGTGTGAAATGTGGTGACCCCGACCAAATTCTAACGTGAACTGACACTTCGAAAATTTTGCACAATTTTTGCTAGGATTTCCCCTTTGGGGACTGTGGCAGCGGTTTAACTTCTGCCATCACCTCGAACTGAAAGTGATTATAACTCGGAATTTCATCTGGTAAAAATAGTAATCCGCGGAAAAACATGTGGTGGAAGTATGATTTTGCGCAACAGACAAAGCAAGTTTTTTTTTTTAAAAATTGGATCCAAAAAATTGTTGCGTTTTCGAGTTGTGTTGCTGTTCAGAATAGTGTCTACATTAATCACATTTACACTAAAGAGTCGTTTTGGAAAACGTTTCCAGGTACAGGTTTTTGGGGAATTCACAGGTGGAAGCAGAGTCAACCGTCCGTTCGCACTATTCGATCGAGGGGTCTGCCCATTCTCAATCAAGTCATGATCTCAGAATCAAATACTATAGAAACAGCCATAATGGTGAGGGTGGTAGTCGAAGAAAGGGGAAAGGAAGAGCTTTCTCAAGCCTTTCAAAAATCTTGAAAAAAGTTTTAATGTACTTGTTGGTTGACTAGTACGAATAATGTTTTTCATACGTATCTCTCCTCCTTCAGTAACATTGTATTTTTCTCTTACCGTCGAAGCGGGGTGGGGCTATCGTGTCGTGACAACCGTGAGATCCCGTACTAGTTTTCGGCAAACATATTACGATGTAATTGCCTCAACCCTCTCAATTTTTAAGTCCTATCCATTTTCTGGATGGGGTGTATAGTTATCAGTGGGGGGGGGGTCAACAAAATAAGACATTTTGCGCGCGGACTTGTCGCTCTTTTTCTTTTACGGCAAGATTGCTGTCGTTGACTGGATATGTCTCAGCAGAGATAATCCCTTTCCAGTTTCCGTCTAAAATAAGGTTGAAGCACAGCCCTCCTTCCCAGTCCCTGCACCGTTCTTCAGAATATGACGTCATCTGTCACCGTCGTCAGGCTCAAGGAGGTCTACCGTAAGAGCTTCAGCCTGAAGCTCTTACGCAATTTCGTGAATCGATTTAATGTTGGATAGTTTTCTAGAGGCATTAGCTACCACTGTGCAAATCCCCTCGAAACTAGCTTTCCAGTAAGGGTCGTTATGGTACACGATCCTTCGAAGACCCCATTGAGCTCGACCAGTGCACGATGTTTCCAGGGCAAATTCTTCTGATGCCGTCCACGTAGGTGGCCACCATAAAGATTTTCTTATAGAATGGAATGCGCTCTTTAATAATAAGTTGGACCATTCGGTCTGAATTGAGCAAAATGTGCTTAAATCCATCTGGAAGTGGAGACAAAATGTCTTTTTTTTTTGCCCCCCCTGTATACTGCCGATGCAAGTCCCAATCAATTCTCCTCGCCCGCGCCGCTCCCCGCATCACACTCTCACTTCCTTCACAACCGCCAGCAACCTACGACCCCCCCTACAAAACGCATCAAAAATACGACCCCTCGCCCCCTCGTTGCTCACACTAGGGTTACCTGCAGTATGCAGCAGTGTACAAAGTCGCACACCGACTATTCAAAGGAACAGGCACCGAGGCCGCGCGAAAAGCTGTTCGCTGGGCTGTGCTCAAATCGTGCTCCCTACACCTGTGTGCCGAAGACCTAGTACAAGTAGGAGACGATTTGAGCCACACATCAAACCACGACGAATTCATAACCATCTGCTGTCGCCAACACAACCGGCTCATCTGAGTTGCAGTCGAGTGCCCTCATGATAAGGCCAAACGTACCAGCGCTTAGGTAGTTTATGAACCGAAGAGAAACTCCAATTAAGAATCTATCGATGCGGCTAAGTCCTTTGAGTCTGGGACCGCCCTGCTCTGTAAATGGTCAAAATCCGTTTCCACCCACAACACCTCCGCAGCATGGTCCACCCACGACTCCCAAGTCGAATTAGCGGCCCCAAGCAAGCAATTCTTCGTGAGCTTCAAATTTCAGCAAAATAAGGACACCGTTAACAAGAGTACCTCAGCATGACGCTGTTTGAAAGGAGAAATTTCAGATTTCTCATCTGGCCAAGCTCAAATTCAATCAGGAATCTCTGGAACATCCTCGTTCCAAACTTTTACCCCACTGCGGACACTTCAGCACAGTCGAACAATCAAAAAATCTCATCAAAGAGGTTTGGGAGCAGCTATCATACTAAACAACCTCCCGATTCTCTTTAGCATCTCAAAGCAGATGACCGAAAGCACCCAAAGGAGAGGGAATTGCAGGAATTTTCCCCGGAAATAATCTGAGCATGTGCTATCTTGCCTTGTCTCTTCTCTATTTCCATATATACGAAGACCTCCCATCAGCTGCCGCACGGTTACCTCCTGTCACATACTCCACGAAGTGTGACGTCACACCATAACGCTACTCTTTTCTATGATTTAGCAATCATAGCAGGCAGCGGAACCCTTCTCAGATCTGATCTTCATGGGCGCTCAATAGAACCAGGGGAAGAAACCACTAGCACTAGACATTCGATACGAGAAACGATTTATCCACTTCTACGCTTTTCAGAGTCATAAACATATATTGTATATATTGCATATACAGAATTCATCTGACTGCCGCTCATAACGATTATGATTGAATAGACCGGCATTCGTTTAGCACAAAAACTAGTGAGATCGAGCACTAATTACTGGACCTCACTGTTGAACTTAATATTCTTCAATGTGCACGATTCGAACTGAAATATATGACACATTCGGGTGGATTGTTTAAAAAAAACCAAAACAAACAAATTGACTCGCAACTAATCGAAAGAATAAAACTGCTGTGGTCCCAAAACCACAGATACACAATGTAGCTCCTATTGATACACCGTAGGTAGCAGCGTCATGAACGATGAAATTACAGTATGATATGATTTTGACAAGAAAATGAGTGGCAATCGACGGACGAATCCGAACGTACTGTGACGGAACACTGTTCCAGACAGATGCCCAAGGTTACTGAGAGGCAGCAAGAAATTATTTCGTTACTGGGAACAGAGGAGGCATTTTCACTGCAGGCTTTGCTGGATCCAACATCGCATCCAATTCATCTGTTAGGTTCTGCAGCATGAAACCAATGTCCGACAATACGTTACCGTTTGGGCCGACTGCATGTGCGGGTTTCTCACTGAAATGCGAATAGTTGGTAAAGAGAAAGAAATCGAAATTACATGAGAGAGGAGCTCAAACATTAAGAAAATATTGCGCAACGAAAATGAAACAATCTTTGGATTTACATCGATCAATTTTTTACAAAAAAGAAGAGGGATGGGGTTAGCGCTGATTAACCTTAACGATGTCAAATAGCCTCTGGTTTTCAATTGCTTTGGCGCCTCTACGAGGTGCACGGTTAAAGAAAAATCATAATTCTATGCTAGCTAAAAATCACTGGCTTGACACCCATCATCCACGATAAGAATGAAAAGAACAGAAAATTGTTTTGGTAAAAAATTCGAAAAACCGAAAGGGCTGCTACGCGTTCAAAGTACCGCCGGACATCTTTCACAAATGCTGGCGACGGGAATGCTTCCACTTGGTTCTTGGAGTGCCTTCACTAGAAACTCTTTCTGGCCTTTTGACTTATTGCATTCACATCTCACACTTCTACTCCATCCTATTCTATCGATCGATTTGTCTCTACTCCACGCTTTAACCCGATTCTTCATTGCGTCGCCTGATACGTAGCCGCCCAAGGCGGACTTCTTTCCATGCCCCGCCTTTGGCTCCGCGCCTTTTACCTTCGATTGTCCATAGAGTGTAGTTTTTGTACGTTTGTTTCTCTTCGGAAACCGAATCTTCATGCGTGAAACTTTGTGTGCTGTTTCCAGTGATCACAACTGACACATTCATGTGAGAAAGAATGCAAGAATTTTCCGCGAAGGATTCCTTTAGCTTTCTAGAGGAGGGACGGGGAGCCTTAAGATACGGTCTAATCTACTCCTAATTCCGCCATCATCTCCTTCCTCCTAAACATAGCAAAAAAGGTGACAATTCCTGAATACAACAACAATCCTTGAAACTTTTTCATTCCTACTATCCATTTGTGAAATTCCCTTCTGAATACGGGTCTTTTCAATGAAGCCCTCTTCAACAGATCTCTCGAGGGATGTTTAAGCCTAACTCGGAATCAGCCTTCCAACAGTATCTTCTTCAGCAGATGACCGTAATATGAAGTTGACTCTGTAGAACGCACGCCGTTACGATGCACATGGGCTGAAGAACCACCACAAAGAGACGAACAGTGGTGGCGTGAAGATGTTCCCAAGGGTGCATATGACAGAGCTTTGTCAGTCTGACAGCTGAAAGGTTAGTATGGAACTCGATTCGTTCAAGCAAGAAAGCACCGAGATCGTGCAATTGTCGCCATATCTGATGAGTGCTTAGGTAGGACAGACTCTGCGACCACAGCAAACGAATCGCAGCCTAGCTAGCGATTGGTTGCGAAGCTGAGCCTGCCTTGAAGGTACAACCCCAATGCATACCGCTCGATTATAACCAGTCTGGGGTCCGCAAGTGTTCGGAAGCTATGGTCACACCGACCGTAACGCAAACGCGTGGACAGAATCTAAGTGGCCACGCATCAGTAAGGTGCTTCTAGCAGGGCTAAGAACTAGTTTAGCGAACTGATGCAATATCATAGCAATAAAAGAGGCCACTGAGAATAACTCAGCAAGAATATAAATCTTCAAAGGAGATCGTAGACCATAAGCAATCCAAGTAAATAGAAAAATGATGATAACCATTATGTAATATATGAACAAAATAAGAAAAGTAAAATAACCAACCGATTTGACATTGAGCCGTCCGAAGTGGTCATAGGCAGTGTTTTTCGGGGTGTTTGTGGCTGAGACATGCTGGCCGTTGTTTTACGGGCAGCATTGTCTTTTGACCTGGAACATACCATATCCCTTCTTAATTCGATCTCGAGGAAAAAAAAAGCACTTTGTCTTCGAGAAAAAAGTCGCGATCGCCGCACGTGCATGTTTCGAGCTGTCTCTTCAGAAAACTACCGCGTCTAAAAAGTAAGTAATTCAATTCTCACTTGATTGTTCCACAATTCTCGTTCGCAAATGGCAACTGCTCAAGACTTGATGATGATCCTCCGCTGCTACTCGCCGACGACTGGAACGCGTGCTGCAGCCGACGTATTGAACCCTCACAGTGCAATGGAGCTGAAAGTAGAATTAAAATTAGTTCAGAGTCTAGAGCAACTGAGATGTTAGCAAGACGTAATAAGTAATCGAGTCTACACTCCAACACACCAGGTGGTGGCGGACAATCGGCATTAGGAGCGCCCAGAACAGACGGTGTATCACGTTCACGGCTTGCATCGCTAAGTATTTTCCCGGTGGATACCAAATTCAACCGAATAGGTTCGATCTGTAACAGCACTATAAGAACATCACAGTAAACACAGAAAAACAACTCTTGTGCAGTGCACCAATTTTGAGTACAAAAAATGAAATCTAAATTAGTTTCGTTTCTGATCTTTCATTCTAGTAATCTCTACGGAATATAGGTTCAGAAGAGCATAGGTTAAGATCTCCTCTTACCTGACGTCTGGACTCATGAAGTTAGTACCAAGACTGGGAACATTGACTTTTTTGCATGAGACAATACTCCATGAAAATGATAATTACTAGAGTAAATCTACCGACTTGCGTTGAGGTCGCAGGAGGTCCACATTACTGCACTCCCTATGTACTTGTTAGCTTGCCCATTATACAGTCTTTTGCAAATTTATCCTCATTGGTTGCTTATAGCTGTTAGTTCGACCTTCACAATGCATAGTTCTTACAGAACTCTATCCTTTTTGCTGCCGAATGCTTTCTCCACTACTCCAGCTACTCCAATGGACCCGGACCCGAACTACTATATATTTATCCTACTAACTATATATTTATAATATCGGACATGCGACAGTTTTAGCCCCAGCTCGACTCGCCGCCCTCCTGCCTTTACGAGCTACTTCCCATCTATTTGTGAGTTGCTCATCTACGCACATATATTTTTTGGTTTTAGGGAGAATTTTTCCATTTTCATGATATTTCCTGAATTTCAGTAACTGACCCTCTCGAAAATTGGATCATATGATCCCTTCGATGATCTTCTGAGTTCGGGGTACGTTGAGCATTCCTCGTTCGCTCTAGACGGTGGGACGGGAGCATTCTAAACAGAGACTTCACAAATAGGCTCTAACACTAGTATTAGCGCACTAACGAGGTATAAGTAAGTAGAAACCCTGCCGAATAGAAATTAAAGAAAACCATATTGTAATACGAGCATTTTTCTAACCGCTCAAAAAGGATTTTTCTGAAGGCGGAAAAAAGAAGCGCCCAGAGCAAGCAAAGATTGGCCAAGCAGAAATAATGAAATTCATAAAATTGACAATGTAGCTGACGTTTACCTTCGATCCTCTGGAATAGCTCAGATAGTCGATATTTCCATTCAAATTCGCTTTACCTCGCAATGTACTTGATGGAGCAGGAGGAGGTGGATCATTGCGCCTAAAACTGTCAGTCGTAGTGGAGAAACGCATGGAACCATATTCGAATAAAAGTTTGACGCTATTTCCAGGGTCAACCGTACATTCGCACTACTCCAACGGGGGTTGTTGAGCAAGCGGGGGATGGAAAAAGGGACGGGATAAGGGGTTCGACGATTTTTGCGAGGAATAGGCTTGCCTCCGTCGCAGAAACAGCCATGATGGCGAGGGTAGCGGTCGGGGTAGGGGGTTGTAATGGGTGGGCCTCCCAAAGAGTGATGGTGGTGGTGGGTATTGCATGGAGACCCTCTAAAAGGAGGATTCGCTAAATTTTCGGAAAAGTGCGAGCGTGACGGTTGACCCTGGCTATTATATGAGGCGTGAAGGCTGGGCATTGTGCTTGCCAGCTCTGGGCTTCTTTCTGACGCAGTGAATTGATATCCCTCGCAAAGAAAAAGGCTAATGGATCCTGGGTTTCAGCACGATGCTACCACATTTCTCTCATGGCATGGCTATAGGAAGAAAATGTGTAGAAAATGCTCAGTACATGTGGATTAAAGTCGTATTGACTAAAATTTTACAGGACACGTAGTATCGCAAGTTTGGCTGAATGGACGATGGAGAGAATTGAGAAAACTAAAGTCGTAAACTTCCCGAAGAGGTGAACGGAAAGATGAGTCGCCAAATAGTTACATAATTTAGGTGATCTGGAGGCACACCGTCCCACTTTGGTATTAGAAGGGATCACAAGATTAGATTACCTGGTATGTTGCACCATTTGCTCTTGCACCGCTGGAGCAACGGAGCGTGCTGAAAGCATTGGCGATGGCACCTGCACTGGATGAACCTTGGCTGAATTCGTCAGCGTGTCCAATGGATTATTCATTGAGCGTCGATAATCCTGAAATGCGCACTTGTTGGGACTCTCAGAATATCACTTCAATTTTATAAGATGGTGACGATGTAAAATATTCACCAGATAAAATATACACATTTTCTTCACAACTGAGAAGATATCGAAGCATGAACTATCGGTGAGGTGATCGCAGCTTTCAAAATTTAAAAATGGGTAGCTATGTCAAAAGGGTAAAATGTATGCGTCTGGATCTTGTAAATTATCACAGTACACCAGCGATGTTCTATGCATGTAATAGATCTAATCGTTACAAGGAATGCCAGCCGGAAAACATTCTGAATAAATAAACCACATTTCAACAGAAAATATAAATTTTCCACAAAAATATTTGTAATACCGCTTTTGGTGACGACTTTCCTCATAGCCTTGCACTTCATTGCAACATTATTGCCTTTATAATACAACTGTTTCACTGATCAACGCTCCTCGTTAAGCCTGTCAAGAACGAACCCGGTTCCCAAATAAATTTGATGGAAACTAATGAAAACAACAAGGAGCTCACAATAGCTCCTTGTTATTGTCCTTGAAAATATTCTCGAAAACAGCGAAAAAAAGGCAGAAAAAAGAGGTGGTATAATTCAGGAACAGAGGCCTAATATGATGCAATGATAAATAATGACAGTATTTCAGAAATGTATGGAGATTTTTCTACTCATACCGATCTTCAACTCTAATGTAACTATGCATATGAGACAATTTGAACATAGCACCTTCTCCTATCTTCTCCTTCCTGATTTATCCATAGAAGAAAATCCATCACGCTTTACAGTACACCTGTTTCCACGCTCGAAATGCTGTGAATCAGATGATGCCTAGCGAACAGCTTATCGAAAAGCTCTTTGAACACATTGGCGACACCGCGGGATATATATGTCTCGCAACTCCGCTCGCAGAAGGCTCGCTCTACTCACTTTATGCCTCCATTTTCAGCTTCCAGAATGATCCATATGCATTATCGGCTGTAGAAAAGGGTACTCTTCTAATAATAATGAAATTGTTAGTGAAGAAATCAATATTCATGAAAAACTCTAAATAAGGCCAAGCATGCGCGCACTGAACGGCGGTCGTCAATGTGTTAAAGCTCAAGAAAAGCGATGTTGTACTAAAACAGATCACATAAAAATTACAGCAAATACTATACAATATATAAATCAAAAGTGGCTAAAGTTTGAGCAAAGCAGCGAGCCTGCTGCCTGAACAAGCATCAATATAGGGAGAATTGAATTTGTGCATGCTCACCTTCAGCTTCTTAATAGCCAAGCCAAGACGTTTCAAGTGGCCTAATCTCTTCACGCCAATATCCTCAAAATCCTCCCAGCTCAACTTCATCACCTCTTGAACAGAATCGTAGCCTTGCGAATCGAAGACGCTTATGTATTCGGGCAATGCCAACAATGTAAGCCATTCACTGAAAAAGCACCTATGCGAAACAAATTTTCAAGTTTATTCAATCTGCAGAACATTGCAGAATGAAAACCAGCCGACCTCAAGCCACCTTGCGGTGGAACAGATGGCCAGCTGTCAGTGATCTGCCAGCTATGAATCTCATTCATCAATCGTTTTCGATGAGCTGGATTCGTTATCCCCAGAGACAGCAGGTCCTCAGGCGTGATTCGGGCTAAAGACAAATTGTTTGGGCTTAGTTTCACGTAGATCATTTGTAGCGTGCACCAAAGTCTTCTGTGGAACGGATAGTTTCACCAACCTATTGAGGACAAATCATATCCTTGTGTCAAGAACAAGGCAAGGTACTCAGCCATACCAATCTTGTCCAACCAAATCGCTAGTATTTCAGCCTCGGGTACGCCTTTCGCCACCATCTGGGTTACATTAACCGGCGCTTCTGATGACGATGAATAAAAAGACTCATCGAGCGCGTCGACGGATGATGAAGCGAGTGATGATGACCCACTAAATGCACGCTTGCTGATATTGATGCATGAAAAATGAGAAATTGAAACGTCGCAGGAAGCTACCCACCTTCCACCGCTTCCGCTCGAATGTACACTTATTCGACTCGGTGGTGAATCCGTGTGACTGGGGGTGAGTAACGAGGTGGTGTGGAATGACGACGACGATGAAGAAGCAGAAGTCGTGCCATGCGACTGAAATCACTTGCATTGAGGATAGTAGGATGTTTCATCTCTGCACGTGCCACTGACACCATATCTGTTATTGTCATCATGACAAGATGACCACTTGTCCATCATTTCGACGCTGATGCGTGGCTGGTGCCAGCGGCACTGATCTGTCACACCGATGAAAAGCGCTGTCGTTCGAATCGCAAAACCGAACACCACAACCGAATGCAGCGCACAATGAGGACCAAATATCGGCGCTCGCAACGCATGGTTCAGCGTGCTTTACAATTACGAAATCGGCGAAATACATAGAAGAGATGATGCGCAAGTTTGGAATAAGGGCTTAACGAAATGTGAATATGTATACATCAGGTACAAACACAGATAAGCCCTTTTTCGCAAACGACTACACAATTATCTATAAAGCCCTTACCTTCATGCTTTCGAAGCCAGAGCTTCCTTGACTGGAATTTGACCCTGTCGAAATACGATGTGATGGATCCGGAAGCACGGACGTCGAAGGATACGCCAAAGACGTCATCCCTGAAACATAACGGGTAGAGAGGAGGGAAACGGAAGAGGTATCGAAATTCGTATGATGAAATCTATGGAGTTGCGTTTCCCAATTGTTCAATTGCTCATGGAAAAGTCGACCGAAATTCGGCACAGCGACACCATAGCTACTCATATTAGTTCAGTTGGTGTTGGCTTTATGCCAGACTGGTGAAAATGTGGGAAAGAGTGCATGTGAAATGAGATGTGGTAAGGGTAACTCGTGCAAAGTATGACTTCAGACCATGCTGTTTCACTATCGTCTGCTTTTTCAAGCTACCAAGGCAATGAGAATGGTTTTGCACCTGCTCGGCAACACAAATCCATATTAGTAATCGTTGAAAACCAGTTGTGAAAGATCTTGTAGGATAACGGAGCCGCGGTGGAAACCACTAATTACATCTACCACAGACCACCCATTCAGAAACGGTTGATTGAGCCTCTGTCACATTAACATATTTGCCTCCGAAATCCCAGGACCATCTATTCACTAAAAAGATGGAAGAGTATGTAAAGAAGTAGAAGGTATTTATGAGAAACAGATGATATAAAGAGGAGAAGAGCGATTCGCGAGCATTGGTCAGCAGATTAGAAGGGGTCAAAAACACTGCAAGAGACAATGGAGCTGCATGAGCTCGAGGGCGTGATGATTAGCGCGTGGCGCCGAAGGGTGAATACGAGCCATTCTACTGGATGCCCCGGTCGGGCAGCGATTGAAATCAAACACCTCACAACATCAACGCACACGCACACCAATATCATAACATTAGGGTAGCGGCTATCTTGGAAGTATTTATAGCGGAAATACAATATCTAAGAAGAATGATATTGTTCACATTTTGGATGTGGAACAACGTGGCACAGTTTGACTCAGATCATAATGCGTACAACTCAACACTTCGGGTAGCACGGTACTTTGCAATCACATTAGATGAACTACAGCTAGGGTTTAGAAGTAAATTGAAAAGCGATAATATCTATGGCAACTCGAAGTGCAAGCCTACGCCACAACTAAACGCGATATCCACTTATAACTCACTCTTCGCCATAAGGATGCAAAACTTTCTAGGAAATATCACCAAGAGAAGAGTTCAAATTACTTCAATACCCTCAAACTTGAAGAAATAGGAAATCAAATTTTCTTCGATTTCGGATAAGTCGAAACAACAAACATGTGCAAGTGTAACTGCGGCAGAGCAACTAAAACGAGAAGAATGGCTAATTCATATTTAAAGCATACGAGAGGAGATTAGGCATATCGTGGAGTGTGAAACATCTGTCTTAGTAGAAAAATTATCAGAGATTAGAGAAAGTTCAAAACAATGTCAGGGGAAAGCTTTTCATCAGGTCTGAAGTTTTCGTCTATTCTAGGATATCCACACTCAACTCACGGAAATACAGAATATAACTTGCATACTCTAGATTCTCGCCGAAAACTCTATGATAGTGCTTGTATGATTTTCAAAATTATGTGCGGTATCACCAAAATTGATTCATCCAATTTTATGGATTTAACTCTAGAATTAGAGGGTCGTCGGAGAAATTTCTTACTTAACTACGAAAGCAAGCTTAGAACTCCACTGTTTTACTTGCTGAGCTGGTCAAACATTTATTTCTCGTAAAATCAATGTGCCGTTCGCTCCAAAGACTTTCATGTTGTTCAAACGTAGGGAAAAGAAGCAGATTGTGTTGCTGGGTACTATGATAGTATGAACTTTTTCTTGTATGTTACTATGCTTGTATTTTTGTCGTCTGCCTTGAGCAGCATCTCAAATAAATAAACAAATGAATAAAAAAGCAACTGGGATGCCAACATTAATGGGAGAGCAGGCAGCGCTGGAACAGCGCAGATTCCAATTCAATCTCCGTTTCCATGCGAGGAAGTACGGAGTATTCAACCAGAAACGAACTTTTCACTACATTACTAAGAACTGCACTTTCTTGCACGAGATGGCAAAATGGCCAGAATGCGTGCGTTGACTTATTGGAGGAGGATATGCGGAGGCGTGGAAGCTTGTTTGATCGAGCCCAGCACCGGAAATCAAGTCACTGAAAAAAAACCGCTTTAAAGTTCAACATGACACCATGTGGCCAAAGGCGCGAGAAATGCGCCGCGAGAAATCCGCGGCAAAGTTCTCTCCTTTCCTGAATATTGGAGCATGGTGACTAAATTGTGTATAGAGTGCAAAAGAGGGACGAGAAAAGGGCGCCCTCATCTCAGTCAACGGCAATTTCAAGGCCGAGAACAAAAGCCAAACAAAGGTGCGCAAAATTCAGTTGAAACCGATTAAATGCTTGTTAATTATGCTTGTTTAGAGTGGGCTATGACCACGGAATTGTGAAGCCAACACTGCTTTGAAATGAGTTACGGGAATGGAAGATAACCATCTTTTGATTTAGCATTGGCTAGTTAGTGGATCAAGGCCAGCTAGGATGAAGACGATTTTCAAATAAACCCCTCCCCTTTCTCTACACCTTCACTAAAGCCATCTTGCCTACAAAGCGTTTACTTTAGGAGCGGGCGGTGAAGTGTGGGAGGTACACGAAATTGAAAACTATAATTTCTGCAATTGACAACAAGATCCCCTAAAAATGTCTTCCTCTTGGTCAAATCCAATCGCTTCGCAGAGGAATGCTTGACAGAACTTGAGTTCTGCAGACAATGCCGGCATCAACCTAGCCATCAAGTAGGGTGGAAAGGCACGCTGTTTCAAGGCGGAAGCCAGCCTTACAAACACTGACAGTGGCAGCCACCAGTCTAGCATCGACTTCACGTTCCATTGAAATGCTCATTATCATCACTTTTTGCGTCCATACTAAAAAAAACTCAAATGGCATGAAGCAATTGCCCCCCCCCCCCCCTGTTAGTGATCTTCGAATGCACTCATGACTGTCCAGCAGTTCCACTTTCATTGTTGCATATGAACGAATAAAACACTTGCGGTGAACCGGTTTGGCTCTTCAACAGGGATTTACTGATTCTCAAGTCAAAGATATGGTAGCTTCCGGTTGCCCCTATTGATAGAAAGCCACGAAAAATACTTCTAGAGTTCCCCGGGCATAACAGCATAATTAGCGAAACTTGAATATTTGTACAGCAGTAGTTACTCACCGAGGTGAAGCAGTTCTAAAGGGCACTATTAGGTTAATCCTTAATAGAACAGTGGCTTTATCAAAAATTGCGATAAGAGCTTCGAAAGCAGAAAGGCCATAAGGCCATGTTATAAATAGGACAGACGGTGGTCTTGAAAGACCTCATGGGTACATTCAGAGGAAGTGGTCCGCCGTTCAATCGCGCATATTGTGTTGACCCGACAACGACCGACGAAACACAGCGCATTCCCGCATGAATAATTCGAGGGTCGAGCCATCATTACGATTGCTCTCTTCGCAGCAACAGCGCGCCCTAGCAGCTTTGCACCGCAGACGGTAACGGCTCGACAACACATAGAGAGGCAGAGTTGCTAAACAAGAGCAGCAGCAGCACGACTAACACCAAGCGCAACCGCAAATGCACATGTAATCCCCGGCGAACGATGGTCACTAACCTCCACTCCGTTCACTCGAGCTCATACGCATATTTGCAGCATAATTGCTACTCACTATGAATGCGTTAGTATTAGTCGCAAATGGCGCACATTTAAGTGATTGGTTGAACACGTAATTTAGATCAGGAGCTTATTATTTAGCAGACTAAGAACACCTTCGGACTCTAGTAGAACTACGAAGCATGTTCAAGAAGCTCTTTATACACTAGTAAACCCTGGGTTTCTTCACCGAAATTCGGATGCTTTCTTCACCTTCTACCTTTGCTTATTTGCTGCTATGCACAGCAACAGTGCTACTGCTGAATGAATGGACATCGGAATAAGACACGTATCCAAGAACCACTCAAATCAGAAGCTTGTCGGCAGCGTGAAGAACTCTTCCACTTTTTTCGATACCGGTCAGCAAAATTTAGAGATTATACGATTGACTGGATGACAGTGGGAATAGAAGCTATGGTACTACAGCTAATTCAGCAGCACCTTCTGAAGCCACGCTCTGATGGCTCCATTGCTTCTGGCACAACTTCCTGCGCTACGCGAAGTTGGTCCATTGTGGAAAAGATCTGTATTTAGTAAAATCGGTAAATAGAAAAATAAAGACACGTGTGTCACATGGGTTATGAAGAAAATATGATACTACATAATACCAGGCACTGCAGCCGAAATCTACCGGTTTTATGAAAAACAGTATTACTATAACACCTCTGATAGAGTAATTCTATGATAATTACCTACAAATCATCCGACCAACTGAACAACATTGTGCTAACAAGAGTTACATCACATCAAAACACATAACACCCCTTGTTGTCGTTTGCTTACTGTAGCATTCATAATTACTGGTTCATATAATATGAAAATCGAAAATAAGCAGGATACCTGAAAAGCGCTATTCCTACGCGGCAAAAAAAAACAATTGTGAGTAGCGGAACCAATTAGATTTAAGGCATCGAAAACCGCCCTATACACATATCAAATATCCATTAAAGACCTCTCAACAGGCGGGAGGGGGTGCTTTTTTCAGAAGAAGAAAAGAAAATTTTTGAGGATTCGAGAAACACTGTAAAGTTATTTTGACAATTTCCCAACCCACGCCCGGTAGGCTTTTTGTGAAATAGTGGAGCCAAGTAGTTAGTGATTAAAGTAGGAGCACTTAGCGTGGGGAAGCAAAGGGGCCGCGTTGGTCCCGAATTTAGTTCAACGGGATGCTTCATGTTATACCCTATGGGCCCTGCGCTCGTGAGCAGATGGAATTCATGATCTCATCCTACAAGGGAGGGCGTCAGCCGTCACCATCAACACCAGGCGGCACATCCGATGGTGCTCCTAATGGTGTTGTCAACGGCCAGAATGAGTGAGCGTGAGAATGAACGAATTCATCAGAACTTTAGACACAAAACAAGCGAAGCGACGCGGCAGAAGCTTTTGATGCGAGTGGCCGTCGTGCCTCCTAAATGAGCGAAAGTGCTTGCTGGGAATCAAGAGGGCGATGGCTACGCGATAGTGTCCAGCAGATGTGTGTGAATCCTCTCTGATGCTAATGTGAAAACAGGGAAAGAAATGTGGTTGGGCGCATAGAACCCGCGCTGGAAGAGATATAAGACGGCGCTCCGCTATTTTTATGCATTATTCTGCGGAATGAATACATGAATGAACTTAAAAAAAAGACTCGAAAAAATCTTTGCGTTCCAGCAACTAACACAGCAATACTTGCCTCTACTCCTCGCAGGCGAAAATGAATCGGGGCGTCAACGCTTAAGAGTAGGCGCGTTGATTGAGGGCGACAAAGAGCACTGAATGAAATGTATGCATATAGCCGGGCTAGGCCGGCCACCCTGGTCAGGTTTCGGCCTAGGAGCCTCGCATGGAAGCACTCCACACCTGAATGCGAGTAATTGGAGCTCCACGGGAAACGAATTCGAGGAACCTCCGCTTTTCCACAACATCGTTCGAGCCAAATGAGAGGAAAACAATGGCATGCGGTGAGATACATTCATCGGATAGTCGAGTGTTATACTAGCTTGCAACGAATGTATCCAAAAGCTACTCTGAGGGTAGAAAGTTAGCGTTTCAAGTCCTCGATTAGTAACTTCGAAGCGCATAAGGCGCCAACTGTTGTTAATAGGGCCGGCTCGACGTTTTATAAACTGGTCAAGATAGGAGAACCTTCTGACAAATCAAGTTCCTTCGAAGAAGCCTCGGAAAAGTGTCTAACACCACAGTTCTCACACTCAGGTTTTTTGCTTGCACGCCGTTTTATTTTACCTCATCTTTGTTCTGTCTTTGTTAGCCTTTTCTGTCTCCTTATGTTGGTTCAAGATGGGGGTGTACCAATGAAACGAACAACTACAAGAAAGTTAAAGATTTAAAATACTCAAATTGCAGCTCTGACGGAGCAACATGTCGCATCCAAAAATGGATATGTGAATTAACTGCGACCGAGGTACATAAGCTGATTTTATATCCAGAAATTCACCTGTTTAGCGCGACCTAATTCAGTGCAAACAAGGCCAGCAAAAGGTTTACCCCTCCTTTTTGCCCATGTAGGGAAAACAAGACATGGCTCCTCTAGCCCTCCAGGTGTTCCACTGTACAAGAAAATCTACTCAAAATAGCGAACGAAATCCATAGTGCAAATACTGTGACAACTAGAGAGAGATGGAAGAACACATAGAGATTGAGACGATATAGAGAGAATGATAGAAAGAGAGATGCAAACGCAAAGCGAGATAATCCAATGTTGACAATTAGATACACTGGCGCTACGATAAACAAAATATCTCGCTAAGGATAAATGCCTTGTTATGAGGAAAGTTAATTAAGAAATGATATAGTAATCAATTCTTGTCGACAACAATAACATTTCCCCTCACAAGTTACACGCTCATAGAACTTTTCTGTAAACCTCAGCTTTGTTCATAAAAAAGTCGAACGTCCTGAAACCTAAGCATCTCTACAACCCGCTTTCTATTTTCTACAGAATACGCCATGGCGTCAGGAAACTTTCAGCCAACCAAAACGACTTTCTATGCCTCCTTGTCCCCCCCCCCTTTACATGGGTCTTACCACCCCACTCCAAGCACTCCTTCTCGTCCATCTAGTTTCTTCCTCATTCCTCCAACATAAGTGAACAGCGTGGGGTAAAATGGCACACATCCAAAACCCCTTTCATATCTATTATATAAAACAGTAGTCTATTATATAAAGCAGTAGTTTGGTGTGTCTGTCTGTTTGTAACCAGTAGGCTCGCTCATTACCTAAAAAATAGTAGGGACAAGATCTCGGAGGGGTGAGAAGTTGTCCTTAGGGAATGTACGGTTGTAGGCAGGGCTTAACTACAAGCCGGTAAGCTAGTGGGCGGCGTTAGGCCCAATGGGCGGGGCCTGCTCAGAATCTATTCAGAATATCGATTTTGCGCCGAGGGCTAGCTCGAATGAGGTTGGAAACCATATTATTGATTAACGACCGGTAATGAAAGATTCCATGACTCTGCAAACAATTTCTGAATATTTTCCAAAACTTGCAAAAATACTATTTTCATCCCATCCAAAACCCACTGCCGATATCACCGTATACGAAGTACAATACGACCTGCCCCCAAATGAATGATTTGACGTTCCCAAATAAGTATTTCTCGCCCCATCGCGTTCTATGAGGGTGTTGGACTAAGGAGATTGGGAAGCGATGAAGACATGTATGTTTTCTCGGTCTTTTATGTAACGGTGCTGATGTATCCGACGAAAATCTATTATGTATACTGCGGTCCTAGCCCTTCAAGCCTCGTGACACACTAGATTGATTACTGACAAATTTAATAAGATATAAAAAGGGCTCGCCCGAACGCGATTTAAGCAGGTAACAAATTAAATATCTACGCGATAACTAGGTAAATCTAATACTCGACAACACCTTCACACTATTTAACTTTCAGAGACATGATAACCCAAAACCTAACCTCCATATTGTGCAATATTATAATTATGTGTAGAGCAAGGATTTCTAGAACCTGAAACATCCAACTGCTGAAAATACCGCCCATGAGGAGCGAAGATCGGAAGACTATTTCGCCCCTTAAGCAAACAGGCGAATATTGAAGTTTTTCTTGTGGATCGCTTCCCGGATGTATGTAGAATACGTGCCAGTTCCGAAAATCTATCGCAAAGCACGATTTGGAAATTCAGGAACCAGGCATGAAACCAGTCATATGAAACACAAACACACAGCACACTGCTACTGGAAATATAAGAAATAAAGCGTATCAGGATGGGAAACCACTGGATGGAATTTCATAATAAACAAAAAGAAAACATGTATACTCAGGACGAAGTCGACGTAGTAGGAGGGGTGGCGGCAAGGAGCGAACCTTTTTTCTGCTATGCACCAACGGGCGAAAAGTGAACCACTCAACGGGGCAGAGTACTAGGAAAGACGCAAGCGTATGAATGTTGCCTGAATGTGAATGCAATGCGAGTTTATGAGGATTGGATGAGAGTGGCAAGCGATGAGGAGCGATAACGCGGTGATGAGGCCGAAACGTCGTTGCGCACTATACCCCCTGTTCGCCTTCACTTACTTGCATGATTGGCGATATTCATGAGACCGACGGCCACGAGCCACCACAGCCTCGTAGCTAGTCGAATCACGACATTGTGTGCGACCCACCACACCAAACGACTGCTGATCGTCGACGGTCGTCGTCGTTCGCCAAAGCGTTATGATGCTCACATCTGGCTATCGGCGATCGAACGTCCACCGCTCGTATATTCCCCCACATGACATTCAGCATATCAAGTCGTAAAACTGCGCGCCGATTCCCCTCTCAGATGCACATTGGCAAGATTCTCGACATGAATACATTTCGTTGAGCATTTAAAGACGAATCAGAAGCAAACGTCAACTGCGGGGTGAGCACGTACCAGATGTACAACCACCACTAAATGAACGTGCACACCATGTGAAGCGAGCGTTAAAAGATAACTTCATTCGAAGGCACCAGAGTGTACGCTACGCGTTGGCGAGTACGAATCGAGAAGAACTCGAGCATGAGCAAATTGAAAAGCATGCACGCCTCGACCAGCATTATAAATAGCGACGCAAGTCAACGTGATGGACGTCGTCCTAGTGGTGGTGGTGACACCTTCGCGCACCACCGACAGCCAGCGTCAAACAGTGTGCCGCCTTGGCACGAGCGCGCACACGCCGCGCCTTGACGACGATTAGCCCGATCTGAGTTTATTGAGTTGGCGGGCGTTCAAGGGTTCCGACACTCTAATTTATTCATGGCTACTGCTTTGTCGGCTTATACTGTTAGAGCGAGAACGACGACGAGATGGATGAGCAGGAGGGTGAGGAAATAACAAGAAAGGATGTCTGAAGTGGTGAGAAGAGGTTCATATCGTGGAGAAGCAGAGTCAACCTCATGGCACAACGAGGACCATCGGCGTCAAAAGAAAGGTATGAAAGCTTTAATGACGCTCGAGAGCTGCAGTAGCAGCAGAGGGATATTGCAAATGAAAAAAAAGCGTCATGGTATTAAGGCAACATGCACTTTCACTATTAGAAAATAACCCATTATGAAAATGACCATGGTAATGATGATGAGATGTAGACCAAGCATGAAACTTACCACCGTTTCTTGTTCCAAGCAGCTGACCAACTTCCGTGCCATAGTTCGAAAACGATGACGAGGAGTGCGTGCCAAAGATAGACGGGCGGCAACCTCTGCAAAATATCAAAAGAATAAGATGTCATCCTGACAATGGAAATGCGACAAAAAGCCAATAATATTATTTCGTAGCCACTAGACTGCGTTTTTTTTTGCGCGAAAAACATTTCTGAACGTCGTGTTCAAAGCCAATTCAAGGTGTGTTTCAAAAGGGAAGTGTGATACCCACAAAGAACTAACCTAAATCCATTATATCCAATCAAGCACCAGGTACCATGCTAGAGTTCGATCAATAGTAGTGAACAATTTATCAAGATGAACAATATTGGGCTTCATTGATTTTATGGATGACTTTTCAAAAGAATACTCTACTGGTAAGCTGAAGCGTGATTCGGATAAAATTATTTTGGAATCGAGTTCTCCTGACAAGCTTGAATATTAGAAAATACTATTTGAATTTCACAGTCGCGGAAACATCAGAGAGCGATTTGGGCCTCACAATGAATTTGTATGGCCAGCTGATGTACAAATGTTTCAATCATTTCAGAGAAGTCTGGTTCCAGTCAATCGAAGCAGGAGGGTTGGGAGGCGTGGTTGACCTGTCAAGGTTGGACTCGGGAACCCGAACCATTCGCATGGGACACTACTTTCAACTAAGTTCCGCCATGTTCAGATATTATAATGAAAAAAAATTGGTTAGTAGGTTCTCTATATAGGTTCTTAAGGTACGCCTTTGATCCCAACAAAACAGCACTTATACAGATGGCAACTATTCTGTATACGTCAAGTTGCAAAGCTGCAGTATCTACACACCTATCAAACCTTTTTGAGAGCTTGAAAAAAAATCCGCAGGAAGGGGCGGGGCGTGAGGGGTGGTAGGGGAGGTGGCAATCTTGTTAGTAGCGTCGCTTACCTCGTTAATATCGTAGACAGTGCAGCATGTCTGAGTCTAGCTCAGCATGCCTTACATTTCAAATATTGCTTGAACGTTTTCTCTTTGATCGTAAAGAACTCGATTTTGAATTGTTTTCAAGAAAAAAGCAGTCAGTCATGGCAGAAAAGGTTACCAGTCGCTTGGCATAAGAATCTTTGTAATTTACACGTTAAGGACAGATTCACTTCATTTTTGTGTTCAGCTTTTGGAAAAGAAAACTAAAAGCTACTGCGCTTTTGAAAACGAACTCCCCTCCTCAAAACCTATATGGATTCTCGCCAAATAGTGAACAGACCCACAGATATCCTCTCAGATCTGCATTTATTGGAGCTAATCAATAGAAGAGTGCAGCTCGCAAAGAGGTAAGTCTTTTCGCGATTTGTTCGTCATTGTTGGAAACCTCATGGATAACGCAAACTCGAAATCAGCCTAATTTCTAGAAGAGGTGTTTGAAAACAAGGGTGTAAGTGGTGCACTGGCAAGTAGCGCCGTTCATCACGCGCGCGGTCTGCCTTACAAACCCTGGGTCGTAAGCTGTCCAGCCTAGGCTGTCTTCCATCGACGTCACTTAGTTTGTATTAACAAACTCGCGTGGGTAGATAAAAACACTGGCTTACACATCGGCTGGCCCAAAAGTCATTGTATAGGCCACATCGCATTCAAATGCCACTACGAATGTACAAATGGAAGTAGAATGCGTGCCGCATCCCAGCAAAGGGATTGATCAACGCCGCGACGTGGGCGAAAATAGTGCAGTTGCGTAGCCTGTTGTAGCTGACTGAATCTTGGATAGATCCCGTCCAGGCCACCTATAATTTTAAACCTTTCTGGGTCAGCTTACTGAATTCAGCCTTGACTGGGAGGACAAAAACATTGACTTGCACATTGGACACCTCCCGCAAGCCTTTAAACGGAAGCAGAATGCATGGTGCACCTCAAAAATTATGACCAATAATCTATCCTTTCTCAGTTTAAGTTCAGAAATACGATAGTTTTTATGCTTGTTAAGTTTGTTAAATTTTGAAGAAACCTACTACACTACTCAAGCCTGGTTTAAAGGTATTATCGGAAATGCAGCAGTTACTCAGAAATGTTTTCTTGTAAGGGCGATTACCTATTTGACCCATACATTACAACGTGCTTTAATCGCAATCAGTCTGACCGCAGCTTCTTTACAGTTCATTGGCGGCTAATCAATGATGCCATAATGCTAGACAGGGTTTTAGATAAGAATCGACCTACACTAGAATAACAGCATCACCATGTTAATACATAATAAATATTTGACCATCCCATTAAATAGGAAATCCACGCAGTTGGAATTATTTATATAGTACTCTTGTTCACACTTCCTTTGGTGTATGATAAGCTGCGAATTACTCCTTCACATTCCCTTGAGCCTTCGAAATATCATCACCGAAAAAAATGATATAAAAAATCAAAGTGGGCGAAAGAGGAAAGCATTATGAGAAAGCTTCTGATTACCAAATGGGTGACGTTTTGAGTCATAGATCTCGCTCTTTATGTCCATATATAATTGTAGGTGGTAAACCAGGGTTAGTTCCCAATTTGAGATTTCTAGAGTAAGAAAACTTCTTCGCAACTAACCGGTTACAGTTTTGCGAGTCACTGCTGCGATCGTCACTCATTCGTGACGGCGAGGCCATAGATCGGCAGCTGAGATTGCTGCGAACATTGCGGTTCACTTCGTCATCTATAGCATAGAAAGGTTTGAAAAAAGAATAATTTTACTTGTCATGTGCTCAGCTGTCTGAAGAGTAAGCTCAGTACTATGGCTAACAACACCGTAAACATGTTCTACAACAGCCCTTTCAACAATGACAAAAAACGGCTTTTCACAATCTAGCTGCAATTAAGTCTAAGTATTACTCCCAACTTTTTCCCAAAATCAGGGTTATGCAACTTACATTTGCTCCTTTCAACTACTGACATATTCGGCACCACAGGCACATTGACCTTTTTTGCTTGACGTCCTGACGCGGGCGCCGTTCCTTGAAACGGCGCCATAGCCACTCTCGACGACATTGAAATAACTGAAATCGCAACTGATTAATTGAACGACCATTCAGAGAAAATCGATTAACAGTGAATCTCAGATCTTCTCCAATAAACAACCAGTCCAGCGCTTCTCACCACTAAGTCGTTTGACTGTTGCCGTGGTTTTCCGATTCGGCCTTAGAGTGGCAGCCTTCGTCCAATCTATAGCCACCTCCTTCGGTTTTTTAGGACGAGGCAAGGACATGTCTAACTCCCGTCCTTAAAGTTTCGATCATTCGTGGTATGGCACAACAGATATCACTAAGAGGCGATCCAGAATTCCGTAAAACAGCGACAGGAAGAATAATCAAGCAAACTATACGAAAATCAAAGAAAGTAATTGAAGGACAAAATTTTGCAGAAGCTGACCCAGACAAGCATGCATGTTGTGCGACTCTTATCAGCCTCTGTTGGTTCAGTCAATAGTAGTCATTGAAAGGATAGCGTTGACTCGGAGGTAGAAAACGTTAAACTACTATGAAAATGGTTGCAAAGCATCCCACTTCTAAGAGGAGGAACAACCCATTTTATAGCTAGACGGCTACTTACAAGAAGAGGCTGGGAAGCCGTGTTGGCCTTACGCCAGCCGCTGATACATAAAACTATTGCCTACGACGACGGAACAATAAAGGTCGCGTCGTGGCTGTATGCACCATAAATATAATGATAGTTGGTGGTTGACCAAAATGCCAAATGATTGTACGTTCACATCAACACGCCGGCGGAGACGAAGTAGCCACCTGCACTTTGGTCATTTATCGGATTTTCTGCTGAGGTGTTCGGATGCGTGCTTCCAGTGGTACTTTTTGTGAACGGATTACAGAATCCTACAGAATCCCAACATGCCACGGCATCGTCACAAAGTCGACGTCAGCATATTAACTGTGGGAGTACCACGGTAATCATCCCTTGTGTATTACCGTGAAAGTGTGCACATAAGTATACAACGAACTGCGGGGCACAACTCAGCTGCGGGAAAAAACCAGTATAACTATGTTAAGGTCTATCTTTTCGCTATCAAAAACCACTAGACGCTAAAACTTGAAAATCCTTGTCAACGAAGAAACAAGTGGTGAGACTGAATTGCTGCAGGAAAGTGATCTCCTTGTAAGTGTTCAAAGTTGAGTGCATAACGGAAACAATTACTTGCTTCGCTTGAACTACAATAGTTTATGGCATCATGTAGGTAGGGAGAAGGAATTGGGCAAGCTGGACTTCCGTAAACACCAACTACACCAACACGTTCATTTACAAATGACTATGTACTTCTATGTTACAACTGAACCACTCCTTCCGCACATTCATTTCCGCCCCAACTTGCTTCACATTAATCACTGCAGCAGTAGTAGTAATAAACACTGTAGTAAACATATGCAAAAATTAATAAAAAAAATAACGATTGAAGGTTATAAGTGCTTTGTTTTCCCACATATTCTATGAAGTTCCCAATGGCAATGTACTGCAAGGGAAACGGTAACATAAGACTCATCCTGGTATCTATCCCGGCTTGATGGCATTATTCACCACACATATCACAAAAAAACTGCTTCAAAATACAGTGAAAGAAATCCGTACGTTAGACCAGCACAGCAAAATTATGCCTAACAATAAAATAAACATTTAGAAAGATGAAAAAATATCATGTTCGATTCGTCGTCACCAACGCTCAACAACATTGAGGGTAGCGAGGATTATGTACTGCCGCAGGCGAAAAAAAGGTTACGAAGAAAAATTCATAAAAACATCTAGAAATACATGGTCAGCTGTCAGTTGGACGTGATATGGATAGCGATACAACCTCAAAACAACCTTGTACACGTAACCTGCACTTGTAAGGATCAAAAACCATTCCAGGCTTGCATCCTCCTACTTTGGCCACATAAGCATGTTTTCACGCTTTATTTATTCAAAATAGCCCTACTTCACCAAATGGTCCATAGGTTGAACACTACTTCCTTAGATGGTTCACTTGTTACCACTACTTTACCTCAGTAGATGATTGTGCTTCGAATAGAGCATCACCAAAGCATTGGGGGTAGGGTCTAGAGGATCTGCCACTTGCAGCGTTGCAAATATCGTCCGGCTTCCATAAGCCAATAAATGGGTCAAACACGCATTCAAACGCCTTTACAATGTCACTGTATGGATCAAATGGGTGGCGCATTCCGAAAAGAATGGTCTGAACAAAACAGTTTGCTTGCCCTTCCTATATTTTTCTTGCGACAGCATGTGCAACCGTCTCATGATGGCTACTAGCAGGACAAGAATGAATAACTAGAAATTTGAATGAGTTCGGCAAAAATAAGAAAACCACATATAACACATAACATAACAATTTCAAAGCGAAAGGTGATCTAGGTGGAGTGAAACAACCATGAACACAAATGAAACTTGTTCCACCGGCTGAAAACGAACGTTACAACCAAGTACCAAGTCAACACAACTACCATATTCATCACGCGACACGTTCGGGCAGCAGATGACATGACTCTACGTGTTCTATACACATACATATTTTCAGCGCATGGTTGTCATTAATATGCGACGGGCCGTCGGTCATTCAAGGACAACCCACCACGAATGCCAACAACAATCTGCTACTCATGGTTACAGGAGACGGCGGCCCAGTTGCTTCATTGTCTTTACTCCCATAGAAAACTCCAGGTATATCTCAATTAGAGCGGAACAACACGCTGGGTGTTATACCCCAACAACAAAAAAACTTTTAGCCCGCCCTCTTCTCTCCCCTATAGCTATTAAATACTCGGCCATTCCATTATCAGTAGTGGTCAGTGGAATCGCAAACACGTGCACTGTAGTGTTCAGGGGCATAGATGGAGCAGCGCGTTCGCTGCGATGTCCGATAAGAAGGGAATGAACTGCAAGAGGAGCACAATTAGAGCGCGTGAGACAGTGCAACAAGTATACAGAAGATATCTAATTAGGTCACACATAAGCACAATATTCAACTGGGTTGGCGTAGATGGTATTCTAAGTATTCGATGTTGAGCTGTCTACCACAATTGGCCTCCGCAAGACGGCATCTGCTCTCCTAATCATACACAAAGAAATACTTGGCGGCGCAGCCTGGTGTCGGCCTCCGCCGCCGCCACGGAAATCCAACCACACACCAAGGCCGCGGATTAACCCCTTCTATCAGCTGTCCTCGCCGGCTATGAATTCTCCGATTCTCCTCAAAACAACATCTTTTTAACCCTGTTACTAGTACGAATAATGGCGAACCACAACACAGCAAGTCAACTTGCGCTGCTCTCAAGGTCTCATCAAAACCTCGTTCTGAGAACAGATGGGATCTACTGTATCCTCAGGGCTACCACCTCATCCGATCTAATTAAAATAAAAATATGAAAATATCCCAAATACCATCTTCCCAAATACCATCTTCCCATCTAAAAATTGAAATAAAGCTCCCTAGGGAGTGAGTGGAACGACTGTAAGAGCAACCCCACACCCTCTTCGTACGATTCCACTGGGAACCCGAAAGAATAGCCATTATGAAGAAATTTCAAAAAATCGCACATGGCGCCTCATGGGGCAGAGCAATAGAGCAGAAAAGCGAACGGTATTTAGTGTGGGTAACGCCATTTCTAGGACATGCGAGTTTGATCGAGTCTCTTTAGATGGCTTTCCACTCAATACGGCGATCCCTCCCTCTGCATTCATTCTCTGTGTTGGGAATCATCTGCTTATAATACTCTCGACTGAGTGGATCTGCGCAAGGCAAACGGTGAATTATACAAAACCTCCAGCCTGATAAACAACCCCGTCACAACAAATCAGCATAAAACGCAGCCAAGTCACAAGAATAACAACGTTCTCACTGACGCTTCATTGATTAGGAAATTTTCACGATTAGGAGAAAACACATTCGGGTGTTTCCCAGCACTAGTGTACAGAACCACTTTGATTTGCCACTGTCCTCAAATTGCAATCCTGCTGTCTTCATCATCGGAGAACAAAGGAATCACGCAGAAATTAGGACATCCTTCGACAAAGGTGGGTGATGGCGAGGGTAGTAGTTGCGCGAGCACGCGCACATGAGGGCCTGACGATCTATAATGCGAACTGAGTGAATGCTACGGTAAAGATGGAGTCAGTGATTAGGAGCGTATTATAGAACCAGAGAATTGTGAACGACAGATTGTGGACGAGCCCATTACGACCTCGTCGCCCTTCAAACGATGCCACATCCCGTAAAGGTTCTCTGTGGAAACTGAAAGTGAGACAACGTCCTAGGAGGAAAACGCGAGATGCATAGGGCAAGCCGGTTCTGACAATGGTGAAAGGTAAACACGCAAGCCCCATCGATATCTGGAGCAACAGAAGCTAAAAGTGTAAAAACTCGGATGATGATCGTTCTGCTGATCCGCTGAACCAATACGGCAAAAAGGGAGTCGACCCTGTTTGCGGCGATGTTGGTTTCGTTAGCTCGCCGTGGCTATCTGACAAAGTAGTGAAGCGGACTCCGCACTGCGTAATGGTTGTTGAGACGTGTGCTAATGTGGGTTTTTGATACGGATTACGATGAGAATACGCCAAGTCTAACGCCGCCGACCGGACACATTAGTCCCTGCGGGATACCCGGATCTGACCGTAGGCAAACGCTGTAACAATTGGGATCGGATAACATTGGAAAGAACACAGTAAGCGTTCCCTTACTGCTCAGGCCGGCCATTCATCGCTCGCGAGAAACGATTGAGGAGCTAGAGAGTTGTAAGAAATGGCAGCAACGATGCGTGAAATGGTTATTCCGTCGCCGCGCCGGCGTTTTCGATTCGGAATAACTAGAATTGAGACGTGAACTCGATAGCACGATCTGTATACATCACGTAGATAAGAAGGCGTAAGCTTGAAGCAACGGCCAGCTCAGGTTGCTGTGAGATTGAGTTAGAGGGGTGCAACAGCGACGGGTAGGGTGTGCACAGCAGAACGCTCGCGCATGTGCTGCGTCAAGCCGCGCTTAACTGTCATGATCATTAAGGCAAACTAACCGTACTCAAGTGAGACGTCACAAACAGGCAGCTTCTAAATGCGGAACAATGGACAGGGAGAGAGCAACGACCGAGGGTCAGTGGTTGGCTCAAGGTTGTGATGAGCGTCACTGTGCGCGTGTGTGCGTTGGAAAAATAGGAGGGTTACGCATTCCCAGGGCGGGGAGGAGCGCTGCACAAACGACGTGCGTATCTTACGAGTTCCAAAAGAATGCGATCTTCGCTTACTATACCAAAGAACAGGGGTGATGTCAACAACAGTGATGCGCAGAGCAGCTGCAAATCGTCTTACAAAGAGAGATAATCCGTTTGAAATAGACAGTCAGTACACAAAGTCGCACGCGTACGAGTGTATGTAAATGAAATGTCACCATGGCATCAAAGGCTACCGCCTCATAAGGAATGAGGTCGTCGCTGCAAATCATGAATCCCGCTGAGTGGACATCTCTCACTGTCCGGTATGCAAATGACAGTGGCAAAACGGCATCGTGGTCATAATTCACGTCGATGAATGCGTCAAAGTGTGAGAAGCCGGATAGATGGCAATATGACTGTGACAGATAGCGCTAGCATGGCTCCCATAGCAATGGTTGAAACCATAGTAGAAATGAACAAAAAGGAAGGCTCATCATGATTCAAGCAATGGAAATCTTCGTTACAAATCCAATTTGTAGGATTTTCTCTGAACACACACACAGCCAACAAGCCTCAAGCAGTAGCCACAATGACCCAATCAATTGCTAACTATGAGCAGCGTCGCCAACCTAGAAAGATTATGGACTGACAGGTAACGTCTCATCACTGAGGCGAATGGATGATGGCGCGCCACGGGGTGACGACCTCGGTTTTTTGACAGGGCTGACCAGCGACGCAGCTCACTCTCACGAAACGCCTCAAATTCGCGGGTGCCCAACTGCATCCATCACCACCCTCTTCTTCACTTATCGTTGCCATTACAGTTAACATGCGATGACAAACACGCAGCACAATCAGATTACATTAAAATGAGCCTGCTGCAGAAAAATTAACACAAGAGAGTAGAACGACGAAGTTTATTCATAAACTCAGTTCACTAGCAGATGTGAGAAGAAAAAACCTTGGTGTCAGCCACAGTATGCACTGACTTTTCTCAGAGACCAAGGCGCTTTTTGTTCCAGATTAACGCTGAGCATCTTATCAAGCGTACAAAAACTACTAATCACTACGAAATGAGCCGCTTTGCCGCCCTATATCAGCAAAGAAATCGAAAGGTGTGATTTTACTTGTTTAGTCAACCAAAGCTGTTAAGAACTGCGTAAAGTTTGCAAATTCGAAAGTAAGCATGCTCATTCCGGACCCATCATGCACCACCTTAGTTATTGTAGCAAAACAATAACATAACATATGCAGCATCATTTAGGATACTGATTGCTCACTCGAAACGGGTAATAAGACGCTGCTCTTGCTGATCGATTGCAGTCACATTTCGAAAAACGATTAGAAAGAATTAACTCAATTCCGTCAAATAGGCCCTCGGGAACTAGGAAAACGAATCAATGCATGAGCATCATTCACTGAGGGTGAGCCCAGCTGCCCAGTTCAACTTGTGGACCAAATTACATTAAGATGCAGGTTAGATATAAGTACAAATACGCCATTATGATTTTCAAACCATGCCTGCATGGCTTCAATGGCTGTGCGATAACACCGCGCGTAAACACGTGAAAACCAGCGGTAATCAATCATAAGCGCAACCGCAAGAAGACAAATGACTACAAAAACTCATAGTTCAAATGGTGTCTCGCTACCATCTGGGTGGACGCATCTGCTTTTATTTTTTCAAAACCATAAGACGAAATGAAGGAAGAAAAGCCGGCTGATAGCGAGCGTAGGCTGATCAGACAACGACTCAAGGTTGTTGCGTACGGTATGTGCGCGAGTGAAGACAGACATGGAGAGGCGTCGTGGTAGTGCTGGAGAGTAGGCGGAGGTACAGACGGGAGGGACTGCGCTAAGTGTCAGGCGAAGCGCGTCAATGATATATGGGCTCAGGGCATTGTCGCATCGACGATGCGCAATCTGCTAACAGACGTTCAACAGACCCCGGCTGGCAAACATCCGTACCATCTCCATTGTCTTCGCGCCGATATTGCAACGATACGTGTGCCGCTTCTCACCATCATCACAATCCCTGCCATCAGTCATCGGGAACACGGTCGGCTGCCACCACGAGTTGTAGTGTCAGCTGCAGCGTTCGAAAAAAATGTTCCTGGGGTTGATGCCTACCGAGAGAGCTGAACAAGCAAAAGAAATGGAAGAAAAAAAGAGACCCACGAGCAGCCCCAGAGCAATAAACAGAGGGCCGATACACACACAACGGCATGTCTGAGGTGCTCTATTCAAAAGCTCACGGTATCGCCGTAAATGCGGCTGGTATTTTTTTGCCGTTGTGTCGCAGGCAGGCTTCTGCCATAATCTGCAAACTTGGAGTTGGTCAAACCGACTGCTGGCCACGTGGATTACGTGGAAAAGACATGACAGTAAGCAGGCGATATTGAATAGCCTTTCTAGAATGTGCCACGCACTTTACATTCACTAACCACTATCACTCTGAATGGAAGTATTTAATATAGATCAAAAGAGGTTTCCCCGTGCAGCCGATTACAAAACGGTACCTCTACTCTGTTAGGCAATTCTCTTGTCGCAGCCGACTCTGAGGGTATGAGAGGCTCAGTTTGCACGATCGGGATTCGATCAAGAATTTGATTCTTGAACCGTGAGTACAGTACGTAGCGACGCTTGCCACTACGTATACAATTGCCTCTCACCTGGCTGAACATCAACGGTCAACAACCCACCGAGAGGGTTTTACGGTGTTCCAGTTTCACGTAAAGAAACTGTATTGATTGTAATTAACCCATGCTAGGACTTGCAAAAGTCATTCCTATGAAGTACGGAAAAGCTCGTTAAGCAATTACTATTCCCTACAAATAGGCATTTGTGATGGAAAATAAATCAATGTCTGCAAATAAGTACACAAGATGAACGTAAAGGGCAGTCGCCTGCCACCGTCGCTTTTACTCTAGCATAGCAATTCTTCTGACTGTTTACTGGAGAAGATCTTATCGTGAGACAAATTCCCTACTAGAAGCAATCACACTTGTCATTTACCTGATTCTGGCTTGTCGATGATTTTCACCGCTGAGGACTGGAAATGTCCACTTCGAGAGTTGCCCTTTCGCCCGAACACAACACCTTTCCAACGTCCTTCTGGCGAATGTCGCCGGTCAATGATCTGAATCAGGTTGAGCTGAGATAAATTCCATATTTGTTGTTTTTTTTTATGATAAGCTTCTGGCCAAATTCTTCCACCTCTGTATTTCATTAAGAGGACCTTAGCAACCACTATAGCGCTCTTATATGTACAATCCCTTCGACGAGGTTCAAGAAAAAACTTGAACAAAACTGCATAAGTACCGCCACAAAACCTCTAAAATATTGCCATGAGCTGTCAATGACCACTTGCATTTTACCTTATTGGAGTTCAGATGAACGAACACTGAAGATTAATCGGACCAATGCTTTCCTATCCACTACTATCAAATTCTTTCCTTTTTCTGAATTCAGTATATTTCCACAAAGCAGGAAAACCCTAAATTCCAGCCAAATACAGGTGAGAGAAAAACTTTGACCGCTATAAGATCAATCCTTTCACCTTGGGTGACTACAAAGCAAAATAAGGTTGGATGAAGATTGCCTCAGTGACACATTGCTTTCACAATGGAACTTGAAGTGCTCATCTAGAGTAGCGCTCAAAAGTCCACGGTGGAATACTTTTTCGACCGCAACTTTTTTTTTACTTAATCAAATCAGTTAAAATTTTACCACGTTCAGCAGGCAAGCGCTCTACACTAAACTAGCGTATCAGTGTAGAATGAGAGGAAGAGCTAAGGGTGAGGGGGAAAAAGTATTTTACTCAAACTTCTAGAGTATGAACAAATTCCAAGCAAATTTCATATTATTGCAAAGTTTGCAACTCAACAAAACAATCGACCGCATGCTTCAGGAGTTGCTGAAACCTCAACAATGCCCAAGTGTGGGAACAGTCAATGAATGCACTGTCTGTTGGGACAATCTCCTCGAGTTCTATACAAATTTGACGACTTTTCGTAAATATTTTCAGCTCTTTTTTTCTGAGTAAGGTTTCTCTACCCTTCTCTACCTGACGCTCAGGACATGTCTGAATTAGTCCCTCCGTTGAAAGCATTCTATGCAGTCAAACTACTCCTTCACAGTAGAGGTGTGATGCTTTTAGTGGCTCTCTTGTTGATAGACGACGACAACATGTCATCCATCTGGATACATGGAACTCTCCAGAACCTAACTGTATACGTCTGCCATCACCAGTTCGCGAATCCTGTGAAGTTCTCCGACTGTAAAATAGTAGGGGACGGAACGGGTTCACGCACACCTGAACTGGATATCCCCACAGGGCTCTAGCGTCATCTGAAGCAACGGGGGAGACGTCATCCGGAGAGTAAACTAAGGATGTTTGTCAAAGATGGCAACAGCCACGTATGGGGCTCTGAGTGGAAACTTTCGGTGCATCAAGTATCAGCTAGGTGGAGCTCGGTTATCGAAATCTCTTCAAGGACCACCGCATAGTATTCGAGAAGTGGTTAATGCGAACGTATGCAGATAGATTCCAGAAGAAAACACCATACGGAAATCAGTACGTACGGAAACGTACGCTTCTGACGCCACCTTTCAGCAATAGTGCGACCAAATGCATAGCACGTTTACTGTGAGGGACGTTTCGGCAGTACGGAGTGTGTCTAACAGAGGAACTCATTCAGACACGCGTCTTGAACGTCATCGAAACACTACTGAATAGGGTATCAAAACCTTTGCAAAAAAAGAACTAGGAATGTGGACGAAAAACTCGTCAAATTTGAAGAAAAATTGAGGAAGTTGTCCCAATAGATAGTGCTTCATTGACTGATCCCACACACAGGCCCTTTTGAGGTTTCAGCAACTCCTGAAGGTTATTAACAAAGCGTTGGATCTGCTTAATGTTTTTATCATGTGGTCGATTGTTTTGTTGAATTGTAAGCTTTTTACAATAATTTGAAATTTACTTGGAATTTGCTCATACTCGAGAATTTCTAGTGAAATGATTTTTTCATTCTTAACTTCTTTCTCCCATCCAACACTAATAACTAGTTTAGTGAAGGTCTGCCTTCAACAAATCAAAATTTGAACTGATTTGAAGTGGCAGAAAAAAATTCGTCGAAAAAGAATTCCTCTGAATACTTTTGTGAGCTACTGTATATGGACTAATCACGCTATCATTGAATAGTATATTGTTTCACATTTGAAAAAAAGATCCAAAAAACGGAATTTCGCTCAAAATAAAAAGTGAAAAATGTCCAACAGCTTCAGATTGATCATTTGTATGCAACGGCCGCTCTGTAGCCGAAGGCACACGACGATCGACAATGGCTCCTTCACATATCGTCTGACGACGTAGTTTGTCGTCACGATGATGCAGTTTACGTCGAAGTTTTTCTAACATAACGTGTTCTCTGAACAATTTACACTAATACGTTAGCGAAAGCTTCCATGACAGCAAATACTAGCCAGTCGACGGCAATGGCTGGAAAGCGAAGACAAGAGTCAGCATTAATCGACGAAAAAAAGCAGAAAAAAGTTCGCATTTGAAGAGACGGAGAGAGATGGCTTTCAGTGCTGATGGCGGCAATTATCGACGCAATTTGGAAAATGAGAGACGACAGGTAAATGAATGTGTTCTGTGAAGCCAGCGAACTGCTCTGGGGAGTCTACTCCATTGTGCTTCTGACGGGACGGCTTCCGAAAACAAGACCTTAGAATAGGAGCGGTAGGAGGAGGAGCTGTGTTAGTTCCATGTCAGCCGCCAGCCTCCAGTGGCTTCCCGGCTCATATGGGGGATTTATTGAAAACTTGTCAACAAGAGCATTATAGAACTTGAAAAAAAGATGGAGTGCCTATCTTAAGAGTTCCGCCGTCTTAATGGCTCCGGATGGAGTCGTCGTAACGGCCGTTATGGGTGCCGCAGCAGGACTGGTAACGGTCGCGCACCAAACATAGATCATCGCCGGGAGAATGTTGCGAATCGTCTCACATAAACACTTTGAGCAGCCGTCTCATCCGTTCAACCCATAGTCCCTCGTTCACATAACTCACGTCCTCTCTTCCGTCCAACGCTAAAATACACCCGAAACACCAAAAAACCAGCGCTGAAAGATTGACGCCGAAGAAGACGGAGCAAGATGAAGAGCGCGCAAGATCGGGGAAAGAATCTGGTGAGAGAAAAAATGGCGCCAACCAGCACGCGATGGAAGGAATGCGGAGGAGGACGAACTCGTCGTATGTTGCCTCATATGATATAGGTTATGCAGAGCTGAGGAAGAAATGACCGACTTCGATTTTTAATTAGCAGAAATTAGCATGGGCAAGCGGTGCCATGGTCTCGCATATATTCAAATGCAATCCGCTTGTTTATTCCGTTGGGACACAATAAAGAAATGAGTTGCAGAGGACAACTGGATCTTCGTTGGAGAAGAAATGAAGAAAAAACCGTCATTATCGAGGGATGGCAAAAAGCAGGGAAAAAACTGAGCAAATGTGAACACAAGACTCGAGATGAAGTGTAACCCTTGGAAACTGAAAGGATCGGCAAGCAAAACAAGAATCTCTCGATAGAAATTTATCAGATCTTCCTTGCTAGCGATTTCCTTAACTTGACTGATTTGTACTCCTATGGAAACTAGCGATTGGTAACCCAATCTCCTGGATTAACAAACGCTAGAAAGGGAAGAAAGGAGTGTTGGGAATTCGAAAGACAAATGTCGAAAACGGAAAGGTCGGTAAGTAGGACATGCCGGGCTACACTAAAAAAAGCAACTGCTGGTCAAACTTGCGATCGCTGATAAACAAGTGGAGTTGTCACCACAAATGAACCTACTAAAAGCTCAACCATTTCCAGATATGCTGTGCCTAAGAAAGAACAAGGTTTCTGACAAGCCCAGGAAAAAGATAATGATTGTGGATAGAATCAATCGACACAAACGATTAGCAGGATGGCACTGGGATACAGCGTCTCGTGTGTTACGGCCGGCGGACCAACTGAGATTGAATCCAAATGTTGATAGTCGTGCCCTCGTGACGTCGAGACTGATGACCGCGACGCGAAGTGTTTCGTATTAGAATTGTTCCGCAACAAAATGCCATTTCATCGAGATCCGACCACTTTCAGCAAGCTAGTATCCATAATAGCACCAGTAGAAGTATAGGACTCCGGAAACTAAAGCTAGCATGCAACACTTTATGGCCGATTGGATTGAGCATACTCGAAACGTCGACGAGGCGCTCAATAGCAGCCAATGGACAAAACAAAAATAAATTATTTTTTCGACATTGCTCAGTCCCAAAGTCTCATACTTATTTAAACGAACTGTGTCAAACCTCGAACTATTTATTGCAGTAGACTAGAAAAAAAATTACAAAGGTGCTGCACAAGCTTTTCAGAAGTTAGCTATCCTTTTTGGCGAATCAGCGCTTTCGTCAAGCCTAAAATTGGTAATTTTGAGCCCACTGTAGGCTTTGTACGTTTGGCCAAAATATTAGAACTATATTAACTGACTAACTGCTGCCACTCGCAAATGTGATGTCCCTTACCGCAGTGTTACTGGTCTGGACCAGAAACTATTCTCTACTCAGATGTTTTACTTTGGTAGAAACTGGCTCATTTATCTGACATTCTTAGATTATGACATCTTAGGTGATGTGCTTGAGAACTTCCGAACACTTTTGGAGGGAACCACAGGCCTTGTTCAGAGGAACGAGCACATTTTGAAGTGCTCCCACACGCTCACGATTATGAAACGCGTAATCCTTTGCCAGCCCATTAACCAGGCCCGAAATCGCACATAAGCTTGCACATAAATGCAATATTAGCCTCGTTTTGGGAAACACAGAATACCGAATGGCTGATACCCGACGTCCTATCTATGGGAAGAATTCTTAGAAGTGACAACTAGGTAAGCATTCGAGAGCGTCAGCGTGACTTTTGATGGAATAAAACCTGATGGAACACGACAGCTCGTGAGAATTTCTAGAAAGAAACTTCTTATGCGAGAGAGTAACGACGGAACGAATAAAGAAATCATCGACACGGATGATGCAACGGGAGTTCGTGAACAAAAAGTCAATCAAAATAAGAGGGTATGGATTGCGGCGACAAATGAATAATGCACTACACGCGCTCTCAGATTGCTCGACACTGCTGCCGCTGCTGCTGCCAAGCGCGGTGTAGAAGTAAAACACATCCGGAAGGTGTTCTCTCAAGATCGGTGTACCTCCGATTCGGGCTTCAACAAGGTGGACGTCATAGTGGGGAAATAAGGACGTAAGTAACATCGCGGTACGGCAAGAGAGAGATGATTGAAAATCGAAATGGATTATGTGTTGGAGGGAGCAACATAGGTTCAATACCTGCCCGTGAAAGATAGAAGCAGTAAGGATGTTGAGGTCCACAGTCTTACAAGACGTACTGAAGTAGTAGTGAAGCAGCTATATTGAGCCAGCGTGGACGACAAGGCTGCCTAGCTGTCCAACGCTTGGCGGTAAGTAAGACTGATAGAGAAGCAAACGTCAAACGGGCAGAGGGATCAACAGCAACTCCTTCAACGGCGAATGCACCGGTTCTTTTCATCCTTTCAACATGACATACTGAAACACTTCACGTTAGGATTCAGACACGAAAAACGACGTCGTGCTTCTATCGACGATATGCACATGTGTACACATGCGTACATGTATGTATGTACATACATATACAATATGCCGACTTTGGGCCTCACCACGCATATTATCCCATTGCGAATTGCGACGAAAACAGTAGTGTTCAAACGAAAACCAACTAAGCAACATTGAAAAACATCTAGAGGACGTTCCTGGCAAGACGGGGTGACGCTGAAAACTACGACGAGCACGGCGACGAGTGTGACTCATTTTTTTGCTTTTCTAGCCCATCACCAAACAAATCGTCGATTGCGTCTGTATTTGAGAGAGACGAGGCAGATGTAGATGATGAGTGGCTGCAGAGCATAAGGCATTCAACGTCACCACAATCATAAACACTGCCATTCTCCTTTCCTGTTCCTATTCATCTTTGGGCACAACAAGGCTCATTCATAATGTAATGAGAGAAGTGATGACTCCTAGGAACAAAAAACTACAATCTATAGGAAAGACTACGACAGCCAATAGAAACCAAATCATTAAGCTGGTGGATCTCTGGGATATCCAAATTTCTGAACTGGGTTTCTATTGGCGGAGGTAGCGTAGTTCTTACAACATGCCAAATTCCTGATTCAAAATCCAAATTCCCAGGCTGATGACCGTCCACCTCAATCAGACAATCCTTACCTCAGGGATGGATCGCTTGATACCATCTTTTTCTACGAAGATTACAACGTTGACGTGGAAGTCGCCTCTTATAAGTAAGTCACCAGTATAGAGCAAACTTGAATCCGACTGTAACTCTGATCAAAAGACGATTGCACGGCCTATCCCAGAAAGGTATTGAGCAGCTAAGCGCTCCACTCTTTTTATGCGTCTGCAATTTTGGTGTCCATCGTTTTCGTCAACTATTCATTATTCAATATTCCGCAGCGCTTGGTCAGGAAAACTCAGTTTCGTTTTTTAATACTCTTTATAACATTCTTCCCCAATTACATTTTCTAAAAATGCCCGCAACTGAACAGCCAATATCAAAATCAACAATCATTATTGAAAAAGAAGCCTAAGCGAGTGACCGCACCACTTAGTTCGCATAAATAAACTTACCCTAAAATCCCATAGATAAGAGCGGTTTAATTTACCGGTGAAAAATGAATTGGAATGAAATTGAAATTGAATGCAGTCACCCCTCTAACTTGATGGATGGATAAATAAAAATCGGAGAAGAAGCTCCGCTCCCTCAACTCTAAACCCCCCGCCACTTAATAAACAATTCATATAGAAAAATAGCGATTTTAACGGAATTTCTGCCGGAATCTCTCTAGAAATGCCGGAATTTGATCTCTGGATAGAACTTGAAGAGCCCATTCGATCAGTAAAATTCCATAGATAAGAGCGGTTTAATTTACCGGTAAAAAATGATTTTGAAAAAATATTTTTATTTTTATTTTATTTTTGAAAAAATATCTATGGACCGCTCTTATCTATGGGATTTTAGGGTAGATTGTCTTAGTGTCTACTACCCTGAAAATCAAAAAGCCCACTGGCGAAGCGAGTAGAAAACTGCTCCTATCAAGCAACGCATAACAACATGAAAAGCTTGTAAATTGAAATTAGGAGCTAAGCATCGATTTTAATGCGACTACGATGACTCCCTCAAGCATCTTAGTTATTAGCGCAACATGAAAAATAATACGCAGATTACCGGCTCTCATAGGATATCCGCCTCGTTAAACGACTTCATGAACCTGTATTCGTAATTCGACTAATTCGATTAAGCTCGATTACATA